GCAAACCAGAAAGCTGATAGAAAGTATCAAGAATTTTCCTGATGCCATATAAAGCCTGACCTGAACCCTCTGAGAATATCAAAAGGTCATCAGCAAAACAATGGTGTGTGAGGCTGAGTTGCTTGCATTGAGGGTGATAAGGAACATTACCAACAGCTGCTGCCTTGTTCAATAGCCCTGTCAGGGGCTCCATAGCAATAGTGAAGAGGTAGGGGGAGAGAGGATCCCCCTGCCTGACTCCTTTCACAGCAGTAAAGAATCCAAAAAGACTACCATTAACAGAGATGCTAAATGAGGCAGAACTTAAACAGAGAGAGATCCACTTAACAAATGTATCTGGGAATCCCATTAATCTCATCACAGTCAATAGATAGCCCCAATGAACCGAGTCAAAAGCCTTCTTAAGATCAACTTTAATAGCAGCTCGAGATGACAAGTGAGTCCTGTGATAGTTCTGAACAACTTCCTGAGCCATTAGAATGTTCTCTAGAATGCTACGCCCTTTAATAAAGGCCGATTGGTTGCGACTAATAAGTGTAGGAAGAACCACCTTTAGCCTATTAGCTAAGACCTTTGCAATAATCTTATAAAGCACATTGATGCAGGCAATAGGTCTAAAAGCAGGGAGTTTATCAGCATTGGGAATTTTTGGAACTAGAGTCAAGGACGCAGAATTCATACCTCTGGGGAGAGCCCCCTCCAGGAAGAAAGTCTGAATGCCCTTTATTATGTCAGACCCAAGAATCCCCCAACCCCTCTGAAAAAATCCTGCTGTCCAGCCATCAGGGCCAGGGGATTTAGTAGGATGCATGTCAAACAGGGCCTGCCTGATTTCTTCTCCAGTAACCAAACTACAAAGTTTCCTTCCATCCTCTTCTACAAGCTTTGTGCTCAGACAGACAGACACCCCTCAATTATAGTAGAATCCACAATTACATCACTGTTAATAGAGCCAAACAGATCCTTGTAGAAGAAAACAGCCTCATCTGCAATATCCTTCATGTCAGTTAACTCGACATTATTATGAGAAATTATCTTCCTGATCTTCTTTTTAGCATTTCTAATACAAGCATCCTTATGGAAGAACCCTGAGTTGGAATCACCAAGGGTGAGCCAGTTAATACAGGACTTCTGCCTAAAGAAGGCCTCCTCTGCCTTTTGCAACTCAACCTATTCACCAGTCAACAATTGAACTGCTGCAAAAAGCCCTTCAGATGGAGCCTGAAGAGCCTGCATCTGCTTATCTGTAAGCTCGGCCTTCTTTGCACTAACTCGTTTGGAAATATCAGAAAATTCAGCTTTATTCAACTTTCTGAGCTCAGCTTTCAGAAGATATAACTTCTGTTTCACACTCAAACACATTTTCTTAGTCTCTTTGTCCTAAATTAAACAATAAAATCTAATTTATATATTTAAATATTTATTGCAAAGTTAATTAATTTCATATTCAATAATACCGATTGGAATATTGAAGAACCGATTGGGATACCAAAATATTTAGGGATTGGGATACCGAAATTATTTAGGGATTTGGATGAACTTTAGGATGTAGTTCGGTATTTGGGATTTCGGTATTTGGTATTGGGATACCGATACCGTACCTATTTCCACCCCTATCTGTTGGGGTGAATGGAGCAACAAATTTGTCATTCATCTGTTGTGGAATTGTGATTTGAAAATTCTGAAAAATAGGTAACTTAGTTATCTCCCTTTGTTCCATGAACAAAGAGGAAAATAAATCAATTACATGAGTCATCAATTTATTTGGTACATCAATCCACTGCTATCCATTCCTTTTAATCTCCCTATGAAGTTCTTATATCATCGTTGGATCACCAAGAGATGGAAAATCAAGTATCTCCCCACTGAAGCAATTTGACTCTTGAGTTTTGATCCCAATGAATCTCTTCATTTTCCAGAGAGATAATACTTCTTCTTGGTGTTTCTACTCACAACGTCTCATCCATAATTTCAAACACCATCCTGCTGGTGTGCCAAATTTTGAAGCAAGAACTCTTTTTTAAAATATTACAACTCTTTCCTACTCCATTTTATTATGTCTTTTACACATTTGAAGCTCATTATCGAGTCCATGTTCCTTATCCATGTCTCATTGACCAATGGGTTGTACTTCTCCTTCTACATTCATTTGTCTTTGAGACGAAAATAGGTTTCGTTTATGGTCCCTTCACAGTAAAGAGAGAACGGATGTGTTGTGATATGATCAATGTGAGTTTTATGCAACACTATGGCATAGGGAAATGTTCCTATCCATTATAGGTTTACCAAAGCTTGGTCAAGTCGCTCTCGGATGCTAGTTCCCCTTGTATGTCTGTTTGTCCAAACAAAGTCATCTGACCACAATTTGTCATGGGCTAAATATGGTTATTGAGGTATCTTCACCGACCTAGCCATGTTGTCATTCATATCCCTACGTAAATCATATGAGCAAGCAACCTGAAAATAATACTTCATAATCCCTTTGTAAATCCACAGACTTGCACTACTAATAGGGAGTTCAAAATTGGAGATATTTTTTTTATGATCGAATTCAAACTATCCATAGTGACTCAAGCTAAAGTTAGAAGGCTATTACAAACTTTCTAGTCATGAACCCCTAATCCTCTTCCATCAAAGTGACCCTTCCATCGCCCAAATGACAAAAATTGATACATGCCTGATTGTAGGATGAATTATATTCCCATTGAGATAAATCAAATGCTTAATTTCATTATGAACGAGTGGATCAACCTCACAACGTAATCTTATGGTTTCCTGAAGCCCCCAATTCGACCTCAATGCATATTGCCTAGCATTATCAATTTGGATTGGGTGAGAGCCCATGGGTAGGATCAACAAAAGCAATGGACTATTGAGCTTTGATCCCAATGGATCTCTTCAGTTTTCCATTGGGATCTCCAAGAAATGGAGAATCGAGTATTCATATCTCCCCAGTTAGGCCATTTGACTCTTGAGCTTGATCCAAATGGATCTCTTCATTTTCCAAAGACATAATAATTATTCTTGGTGTTTTCTGTTGATAGCTTCTCGTCCATCATTTCAAACACCATCCCGCAAGTCTGCCAACTTTTCAAGCAATAACTTAATTTTTTGTAGAATATAAAAAAAACCTTCCTAATCCATTTTATTACAAGTTTTTTGCACATTTAAACTCCTTTTCATGGACCGATTCCTTATCCATGTCTCATTTACCGATGTGTTGTGCTTCTTATTCTGCATTTATCTTTGTTCAAGACGAAAAACAAGTTTGTTTTTTTGGTCCCTTCCCAGTAAACATTGAACAAGTTTTGTGATTCGTTTTAATGCAATACTATTGCATCAAGAAATGTTTTTCTCCATTCTAGATTTGCCATTGCTTGGTCAAGCCGCTCTCGAATGCCAGTTCCACTAGTATATATATTTCTTCAAATAAACTTAGGCACTTTGCACGCCAAGTCATCCGACCGCAACTTGTCATGTGCAAAATATGGTTATTGAGGTATTTCCACCGACCTAGCCTCGTTGCCATTCATATACTATGGCAATCATAATCCATTCGATCCTCAAACTTGCACTACTAATAGGGAGTTCAAACTGGAGCTATCTTTATTCTAATACGATCGAATTCAAACTATCCGTAGTGACTCGGGTGAGGTTCTTACAAACTTGCTAGCCATGAAACCCTAATCCTCTTCCATCAAAGTATCAAAGTGACCCTTCCATCTCCAAAATGACATAAATCGGTACATGGCTGATTGTAGGATAAACTCTATTCTCATTGAAATGAATCAAATGCTTAGTTTCATGATGAACGAGGAGACAATCAACCTCACTATGCAATCTTATGGTTTCATCAAGCCCTAATCATATTGGCTAGCATTATCATATTGTATTTGGTGAGAGCCCATTGGTAGGATCAACAAAACCAAAAGAAGTCAAAAAGCCCAATGGTGGCAGAATATATCAATATTGATAATAATATTTGGTTTGGATCAATTTTTTTAATTTGGTTTGATTTTAATGACAGGAAACCGTGAGTATAACAACAATAATTATCGTCGTCTTCCTTCCTTCTCCCACCTACCTGCCCCCTCGCTTATGGGGTAGTAATAAGGGTGTTGGTGTTGGGTTCCTCTCTCTTTATTAGTTGTTAATTTCCCTGATTATCTTCTAAACGCATGTTGGTATTAAGTTTAAAGATCTTTATTAAAGCGAGGACGCCCTAACTTCTTTGGTCATTAAATTAAGAATTAAGTTGTCTGACCCAAATCCCAATATGTCCTGCGGTGAAAACTGCAACTAAATGATAACAAAACAGGGGGTGAAAAAAGGGATTCTTTATGCATTAAAGTAGTCCAGCCAAATCCAGTAACAAACCTCAGAGATATTGTAGGACACATTTGTTGATGTTGTTACACAAATTTAGTTAATCCTAGTTACGCGTGCCAGCCAAGACATTAAGAGCACCCTTTTCTTAAAATTTTGATTTATCAATAACATCGACTCTCTTGTGATATAATGGACGATGAACTCGTTCATGATATATCTTAACATATTGTAATTTTGATGAAAATAGTCTTAAATTTGAGGCTTTGATTTTTGAACCATACAATCTTGAGAGCTATATAGAAATTGAACAATCGAACTTACGAGACTACATTAGAGAGGAAGAAAAAAAAAATACTCGAATGAATTTATAAAGACATAAACTCGACACCTTAAAATTACAACGCAAGCATAATTTAGATAAAACTAATAATTTTTTTAATTCGATCCAATGACTACTTGTGAGTTGTGAAATATAATTTTAATTTAAACCGATAAGGTCCAATCTTTTTTGGACTCCAAATAAAAACAAAATATTTATCATGAATATGGTATTTGAGCAAACAAGGAAGGAAACGGTATAGCTAGGCATTAGCATATCAATGTTTATATGGGGATTGAACCCCACAATATCCCATCAAATTAATCACCTTTTAATTAGGGATTAAATTTGGGTAGTCAATACCTGCATAATATGGCCAATATGTAATCTAAAGGACAGATTAGGGAAAAAACAAATCCTAACCCCCACCCCTTATCTCTCGCCCTCACAACCCCAAAACCCACACCAACAAGATTAACAAAGACTCCTTCTCCCTCTCCTCCCCTTAATCCCTAATCCCTAAATCCAGTAATCCCTCCCGCCAAGAAGATGCCCCTCACTCTGCCACTGCCTCCCCTCTAGTGGCCCCATCGAATTCCAGGCGTAAGAAAGCAGTGGCTGCCCGGCCGGCCGGAGCTTTTTCTCCCTCCCGCTCCGATCTCCATCGGAAACCAACCAGTATCCTGATTCAATTTCAAGGTTTCCAATCCGAATTCATGCTTCTTTCTCGATTCACCTTCGAAATTGACAATCCTCCTTCTATTTTGACCTGACCAACAGACGCAGTCGTCCTCCTCATCCGCCGCCGCCGCCAGTCCCTTCCCCCAAACCCTTAACCATGGTTTTAGACGAGAAAGTCGTGTTAACCTCCCCAATCACTCCTCCTTCCTCTAACGGCGTTGACAGCCCGCTCGCGGCCGCGGCCGCGGCCGATGATTCGAGCAAAACCCCGCGCCTACCGCGGTGGACGAGGCAGGAGATCCTCGTCCTAATTCAGGGGAAGAAGGTAGCGGAGAACAGGGTCCGCCGCGGCCGGGCCGCGGGGATGGGCCTGTCCCCGCTCCAGCTGGAGCCCAAGTGGGCCTCCGTCTCCTCCTACTGCAAGAAGCACGGCGTGAACCGCGGGCCCGTCCAGTGCCGCAAGCGGTGGAGCAACCTCGCGGGGGATTTCAAGAAGATCAAGGAGTGGGAGTCCCAGCTCCGCGACGAGTCCGACTCGTTCTGGGTCATGAGGAACGATCTGCGCCGCGAGAGGAAGCTCCCCGGCTTCTTCGACCGCGAGGTGTACGACATCCTCGACGGAGCCGCGGCGGCGGCGGCGCACGTCGTCTCCTCCTCCACCTCCGCCGTCATCGCGCAGCCTGTTCCCGGGCTCTGCCTCGCCCTCGCGCCGGCGGCCGCGGACGGCGAGGAGGCCGATGCGGTGTTTGACAGCGGGAGGAGCGCCGCCGCGGAGGACCGGCTGTTCTCTGACTTCGAGCAGGAGGATGATGCCGCCGCCGCCGCCCTTTCTCCGGAGAAGGAGGCGGCTTCGCCTCGGAAGGAGCCGTCGCCGACCCCGTTGAAGACTGCTCCGGTTGGGATTGCTGCCCCAATTCCAATATCAGGTGATTGCTTGTTTTGGTTGGTTAATCGGTCTCGGTTGTCCAATTGTTTACTTGTTAATTTTTCCTTCCCAAAGTCATTGTGCGGGTGGTTTTGGGTTTTTCGTAAAGGCCAAATAAGAAAAAGAAAAGAAAAGGCAGAGTAGGTGTTTTCAGAGCCGCCCTACCCCGCCATCAATGAAATACATACACCTGACCTGAAGCTTTTACGTGAATGCTTGGCCATTGCCATGACCATCGAAATCCCTGAACTTATGGATACAGAGCAAAAGTGGGAAATTTATATCTCCTTTGAATAAACTAGGGAAAGAGGCAAATGTTGGTTGGCAGTGGCTAGTGGGTCTCTCTGGTAACCAGGTGGAGGAATTGCTTTGGCCCCGCTGACTCGTGGCAAATGCTGAAATTGGCAATGCCGTCTCTGCTGGCTGCTGCCTTGCCACTTTTGGTCGTTCAACTTTCACTTCACCATTTGTATCTTACCCTCGCAATTAAGATTTGCTTTGTGTTTTCTTTACTGGTTTCTTTCCCAAATGGGTCGTTTCTCAAGTTTAACATTTTCCAATGTAATGTGCAGAGAAGCAGTACCGGCCGCCTTCTCGTGAACCCCCAACTCAAGGTAATGCTGCATTTGCTTCGTCTCTTGAATTGTGAGTTTGCTTAGGAGTCTTGAATCACTTTGTTATTTACCAGTGTATTCTAAGCCTATCCATTTCTCTCTACGATTGTATTGATAACTAATATACACTTATCTTCTTTTTTTACTCCATTTTGGATGTTGTCAAAGCCGTTGATGGAAACCAACTTTCCTATATCTTGTTTCTCCTTCTTCTTCTTTTGATCAATAAGCCGTGAAATTTGTTGCGTGCAGCCTATTGTATTACTTATCAATCCAATTTATTTTGCCTTTTCTTTGAGATTGGTTCCAATTGACCTCGCACGCGCACGCATTGGTTTTTGAATGATAATATTGATCTACCGATGCCACCTTATTCAGTCGTTTGATTGCGGTAACTTTGAGCACTAGTTCATGATATGTTACATTGCAATTGTGAGCAGGTTTTGGTGCATCAACTGAGAAACACCCGTCTTCAAACCCCGAAACCAGCTCGGCCGCTCGGGAAGGTCGAAAAAGGAAGAGATTTGCAGGCGAGGAGGAAGAAGCGGAAGATGAAACTGTTGTTGATGTGCAAAACCAATTGATTGGGATATTGGAAAGGAATGGAAGGATGGTGGCTGCTCAACTTGAAGCACAGAACACCAACTTTCAGTTGGATAGGGAGCAGCGGAGGGATCATGCTGATAGCTTGGTGGGTGTGCTGAATAAGCTCGCAGATGCTCTAGGGAAAATTGCTGATAAGTTGTAGCAGGGGGGAGAAAGAGTTTTTGCAAGAGAGTTGTACATAACAAAGGAAAGAAGAGGGGATTGCATAGAGTGGTTGAGATAGGGTAAGAATTTGGAGTTATTGGGGGATTGGATTTTTTATTCATCTTAGAAAAAACCACAAGATAGCATGAGTAGTAGATTGATGGGTTTAGTTTCCTTCTAGTCTTAAAATTTTTTCCCTACATTTTTGTATGGCACATTTGTTCTCCACGCTACTGGTCTGTTATATAGACAAGACAGCAGACAGGCAATAAAATTCATACAAAGCAGATCACGGTCAGTCATATAGGCTGCAAATGTCACGTGAGTATTTTTGTGGTCGAATGGCGTGACCATTGCCTGTGTCGATTGTTACAGGGTGACTCTGGTAAGTTTGGGCTCAGTCTGTAAAGTGGACAGGCTCATAGTTTTGTGGAGCCACGCATTGTGGGTTGTTTTCGGATGTCAGGCCCAAAGCAGAAGCCCACGAAGCAAAGGAGCGCAAGTCAAACTCAAAGGATGGGCGGAAAGGAAAGCATGGCCTCCTCGTCATCGACTCTTTCTTTTGTGTTGTTTTTTTGGATTGCTTATCAATGTTTGCGGTTCTTTTTACTTTTTAGCTTTATATATATATATATTTATTGAGACGAGGTGTCCCTGTCCGTCTGGCTGCTGGCCCCAGCTTCCTCGTCTTCCCCATTTCCCTTTTCTAATGTCTTCTAAATTCTTTTTTTCTGACAAATATTATACTCCTGAGAATAATTAATTAAGGATCTGTGAAGCTGTGTTTGATCATTTTGCTTTATTTAGTAGTACTTTCTGAATATAACTAGCGTGGGCCCCGGCCATTTAGCCGGACAAAAATGAGGTATGAAATTTGATAATGTAATGGGGTGTATAGTTTATTGTTGTATAGTTTTTTTTTTTGGGAAACACGTGATAAAAATAGTGAATTTTAGTAGAAAAGAGACATGAATGATGCAACGAATCAAAAATCAGTCTTATGAACCAAAATCAAGTACATGTTACCTTGTGAAACAATATTGTTTCTGGTAATATGATGAGGTGGAGTAAGTTTTATAGAAACCGAATTCCAGAAAATCCAAAAAAAATCGTATATCCCGCCTATTTTCGGGAAATGAGCATCTCACAATCGTTGCTAGCTTTTACTCGGCCCGTTGGCCGATTAATTTTATTTATAAAACTTTCATCTTCTCATCATTGTGCTTTCTGGATTTTTGCCAAGCCATGATAAAATCTAAAGAAATCAAGAATGAACAGCACGATTTGGGATAAGAACCACCGTTCCCGTATCCCTAGAAAATGGTGGTAAACACGGACTCACCTGCCAAACTGGTTTGGATTGAGATTTTTATAGGGTATCAGATAACCATGTGATTATAAATTAGACTTGATCAAAATGGGCCAAAACTTGAAATTCAGCTTGTTTGACCGACCCATGCCAAACTCTAATTATTCTTTACTTTTAAACTTTATATTTGAAAATAAAAAATAATAAAAGAAAAGAGATGACGGCAATTCACCATTTGCACATCACTGATTCGGGAATAAAACTATAGAATTTCGAAAGGAAACTGAAAATGTTTAGGATCGTTTTAATGTTAAAAATAATCAAATAGATCTTTCTCTTTAGTTTTTTACTAACAAATACCAAACGATTCATTATAATATACACTATAATTTAATCATTATGATATCAAATAATTATATAATATATATTTGAAATGATAAAAATTGGACTAATTGAGTTGGTCGAAGTTGAACCATTGAATAACTTTAAAATACATTATATTTTAGCCACTAAGACAAACCCATGATGTTCATTTGTTTTACTTGATGGGCAAATCCCATGTAGGTCAGACCCGTTCAACTCTTTTATTTTATGATTAGCGGTTAGCCCATTAGAATCCATGCATTAGTTTATTGTTAATTTTTTTTCTTTTTAGCAATAAAAAGGAGTATCGGTTTTGCCTTTTCATATATATATTTTACCACCATGGAGAAATAAAAGGACTTAAAGAAAAAAATTGACACTCCTGGACCCATTTAAATCCGCATGTGTACGGTAAGTTGGCCCGTTCCACAGAGGAAAAAGAAAAAAATTGACACTCCCTATTCTACTCTTCCTACAAACGCTCCTGGAGCAGGGAATTTTAAATGGGGAAATAGTTTTTTCCTCTCTGCAATTATATGTTTTTAATTTAAAAAGATACAACAAATGTACTTAGTGTGATTGGTTATGATCTTTGTTTTTCTTTAAAATGGTCATGGTTCGAATCCTAGTAAGTGTCTTTTTAATGAATAAAAAATAGTAATTGTGAAGACCAAAATGTCCTTTCTACTTTCACTCTGGATGCAGGAAATTTGAAATGGAGCTTCAAGTTTTCTCATTTGGCTTTTATTTATTGTGTAGATGTAGATTAAGGGCACGATGGTTTTAACGAGAATATGGATATTGTATTGTGCTCATAAACTTGGATCTGGGCCGGTCCACAGCCCGATCTCACTCCCGTTGTGTGTTTCTACTTTTCCCTTTTTTTTTATTTCAAAATAAAGAAATTCGTTAATTCATAATTAATATTTTATTAGCGGGAGCGAGCGGGGAGGAAGTGGAGGGAAAATTGGTGCGGACCCCACGACGACAGTCGGAAAAAAAAGGTAAAGGCATCTCAGTACAGTGGCGCACAACAACGCAAAACAATCCTCCGCCGTGCCGTGTGGTAAAACTCGAAACGTAAAGTAAAAAGGTGGGCAGAGAGAGCGTTACCAGTTGCCACAGCCGACTCCATCTCCGCTCGCTGACTGCTCGGAGGCTGACGAGCTCCTCTCCCTCGCCTCACTGTTATTCCGGATTCAGTATTCTTCTTCACTCTCGCCCACCGTCAATTTCCTTCTCCGGCGAACCCCCGCCCTCAATCTCGTACCCTTTTCCCCCTTTCCTTCCTCCCACCACCGCCACCGCAACCATCGTCGGAGCATACCCCCGACGAATTTCTGAGGCACGCTTTGTTATCCTACAAATTCCGAGACCACTCTCTCTTTCCCTCCCTCTTTTCCTATCTCTACACTACACCCCCACTGCTGCAACCAAACTGAACTCCCTTTTCCCTTTACTTTGTTTCTAGGGTTTCTCTCACTGTTTGCCGTTCCCTTCCCTTCCCTTCCCCGTCGTTCCAATTCCCGCCCCGTCCTCCGTTAATACCAAGCAATTACTTGAAGATAGACTAACAGAAGAATCTCCCATAGCGGATCGAAGCTCATTTGTCCTCCCGCGCTCCCCTTGTAGCTGTGTCTACTGTTGCGACTATGACATATCAACATAATTAAGCAAAAGCTTCTGAGATCGACCATTGCTACTGATTGATGATTGTGACTCCTCCTCAGTCTCTAACAACTAGGCCGGCAGATCATCACCCTCCGCCCCCTTCAATATGCATTTCGCCAAGCTCGACGACTCTCCTATGTTCCGCAAGCAGGTAGGTTGGTTTGTTTGTTTGTTTGTTTCCGTTTTGTCTCTTTTTGGGTTTTAGAATTTGGTTTCCGGAACCCTACTTTGCTCAACTTATGATTTCAAATCTTCCCCCCTCCTTTTCAATTGTCCCCTCCTTCCCTACCAGTTGATTCATTGTGGAAACACGCAATTTTGATCTTCTGTGCCTTTTCTCATCGTTTGCATTTGTTTTTTCCCTTGATGGATTGCTTCGCTTCCGAGAACCGTTAAAAGAGCAAATGCAATTATTGACTCTTAGCTCTTCGTGCAACTAATGCTGTTGAACTGGCCTTTAAGTCTCCCCCAGGAAACAAAGTCCATTCTCTGCCATTCCCTGTTGTTTTCCATGCCAATATTGGGCAATTGTATCCATTAACCACCTTGGAAAGCAAAACACTGATTCCGACTAGTTCGTTATCCATTCATTGAACTTTGGGTTATAAATGATTTTGGGACTTTTACCGGCTGATATTTGTCTACAAATGGCGGCTCCCCTTTCACAGCTCCATGCCCTGCAACTTCTTTTACTTTCTTGACTGGTGTCTGTCCCCTGTTGGTTCTACCCTTTTGCTGTGTGTCGTAGGGTTCAGCCCAATTGCATGTTTCCTACTTTGATAGTATTTACTGCCTATTGATTCATTTTTCCTTCTGGCCTTTCTTTGGTGAGCCAGGTTTTATCCTTGGAGGATAGTGCTGAATCATTGAGGGAACGATGCTTGAAGTTTTACAAAGGATGTCGAAAATACACGTATGCCCTTCCCATTCTGTTGTTGATCCTATTCCTTTATCCACAGTACAATTGAAAAATGAAATCAATCAGGTCCTGTAATTTTGGTAGAATGCTCAGAACTAGATTGTTGAATATGGTTCGGTACAATTTGGGTAGTATGTGCTTTGAATGGGGACATTGTGTTTCTTTCTCTTGCTGAATAACCTACCCCCATTCTGCCCCAATTTTCCCTGCCTGCCTTCCCTTGTAAATTATGATATTTGTAAACTATTAGTTCCTTAAGGACTTGTCTTTGATCTCTCATTGCCAGTGAAGAACTTGGGGAGGGATATGATGGAGACATTGCTTTTGCTAGTGCACTGGAAAGTTTTGGTGGAGGGCACAATGATCCCATTAGTGTGGCTTTCGGAGGTAATCATTACTCTTATAGTTGCCAGACATTTGTGGTTATGTAGTGTTCACAATTGGTCCTCAGCAAACTGTGTTTATTTCACTTTTCATTTGTGTAAATGATGCATTGGTCAATATACGTTCAAGTGTAAAACTTTTGGCTCTGTATTGTAAGCGGATCACAAATATATGCTACATAATTTGTTGACAATATTGGTATTGTAAATTTGTAATAGAAGTTTTGCCTCCTTTCAAATATGTTTGGTTGTTAATGCAGGCCCTGTTATGACCAAGTTTACAATAGCATTGAGAGAAATTGGCACGTACAAGGAAGTACTTAGGTCCCAGGTAAAATTCCTGATTTCCCATTCACGGGGTAAGCATTTTGTTTTGATATCTTTAGTTTTGTGTTCTGTGAAGTCTGCTGTTGATCTCTAGATTTCCATTTTATAGAGATGTTGGTGCCGAGCTTGTGCATGTTGGTTAGGATTGTTGTTTATTAAGTGTTATATTGATGTTGTTATAGGATTGTTGGTTAGGCACAACAATTTATTCTGTTCAAGGGAGTATTATATTTAATGGTATTGATGTTGTTTGATATGTTGTCATCTGAACTTAGCCTATTGCCCTCTGGTTTGCTTCACAGGTTGAGCACATGCTAAATGACAGACTACAACAGTTTGTGAATATTGATTTGCATGAGGTGAAGGTACAAAAACTTGACAAACTGTCGCTGAAGTCGGCGTGATTCTTTTGAGATAGAGCACCATTGAGGATGGTATTTATTGTATCTAGATCGCTGTATCATATTTGTATAATGCTTAACTTGCTGTCTGTCTTGTTGCAGGAAGCAAGGAAGCGCTTTGACAAAGCGAGCCTTATCTATGATCAGGTATGTCTTTTCTATAACATTTCTTATGGATTTTGCCATGCTCTTAGGCAACTTGTATACGTTTACCCTGTTTGAGCAATAGAACGACTGCAAGAAAGAAGAGGGGCGGGGGATGTTCCATTGGCAATTGCATAGAATGATCATTTACTTGCCATGTTTGCTAGAACTTTGTTGTTTAGACTTTCAGTATTGGAAGCGGGCTTGCAACCTGCATCTGCAAGTGGATAATCAGTCATCATTGTTTTGGTTATTTAAGTCCTCTATGATGGTTGGTGAAGTATCAGTGTACCTTTGTAGTTCATGTAGCCTATAACTCTGAGAACTTCAGAAAAAATATGCAGTGATCTGAAGTTCCAAGATGTCTCGTTTGATTTTTAATGTATAAAATATTCCCATTGCATAGTCTGAAAACTCAAGTACTAACTTGTACACTTGTTACTCCACCTTCTCTTCATGACTTGTTGCACAGTATATTTGGAATTAAGAACTGGGTGGGATGGGGTATGGATTTTTCAGCCAGTTGGTTATATTGTTCATTTTCCTTTAATATGTTATCGATTCCCAATTTTTAATGTTCTCTCTAGGCACGAGAGAAGTTTCTTGCACTGAGGAAAGGCACAAAGACTGATGTGGCCAGTGTCTTGGAGGAGGTACAGCAATCTCTTTGCTCTATTCTTCAAAGAAAATTTACCATGATAAACTATACTTTCTATCTATTATACTAATGTGGCATTATATTTATGCCAGGAACTCTATAATGCTAGGTCTGTGTTCGAGAAAGCACGCTTTAATCTCGTAAGTACATGTGCCAAATCAGCTGGTGTGTCTCCAATTATCAATAGTAATGTTTTAGGTTGAACTTACATGTCCTCTTCAGCACATGGCTTTACTTAATTGCTTGTACTCTGTCTAGGTAACAACCCTTTCTAATGTTGAAGCGAAAAAGAGATTTGAATTTTTGGAAGCTGTCAGTGGCACAATGGATGCACATCTTCGCTACTTTAAACAGGTTCATAGATTCTGTGTTACGTTTTTCGTAGTTATTTTCTTGTCCAAGCAAGGCCAATGACTAAAGTTCTTATGTGCAGGGTTATGAATTATTGCACCAAATGGAGCCATATATAAACCAGGTTTGTCATTATACTCGTTTCTATTTCCTGACAATTTTGTACTTCATATGTCATCCAATGGAGCCTTCTTTTTTGGAGAAAAATGGAACTTGATACTGTTTCTGTGGAAATGTGTATTTGGTCAATCTATCTGTTTCTTATGTGAAACTGTGATTTGGGAGTAGAGAAATGAGGAAGCCATGGATGGTTTACTTTCTCAAATTGATCAGTGTAGATTAACTGAATCAAAGTACATCATCTGCATTATATTGTGGTTAAGACATTGATTAGTTGAGTAGGGCTTGAATGCAAGGATGATGAAACTTTGGTGTTAGTGTATATTTTTATCTGTGGTATCGGATGGAGATGAGTGGGGATACATAAATATGATTTGGGAACCTTGAATGGGTGAGAAAGATAAATTTTGGCTGTTACAGGTTACAGACCTGTGAGTAAACTAATATCTGAAGCAACCAGCAGTGTTGAGCCTCAGTGGCAAATGATCTAGATATGTGAACATCTGCTATCAGTTTAGTTTCTTACTTTCTTTCAGTTCATCGACATGTGATAACCAGTTCGGATATTTAGACTAGACTAGACCAAACATGATATGCAGGGAGATTGATTATCAGAATAAGTATTGCGAGTGTAGCTGTTGTGTTTTCAGGTTTTCTATATGGAAATCAAAATATGACACCTCTTGTTATCTGCAGGTTTTGACTTACGCTCAGCAATCAAGAGAAAGGTCCAATTACGAGCAAGCTGCATTGAATGAAAGAATGCAAGAATACAAGAGGCAGGTGGATCGTGAGAGTAGGTCATCTTCTAATGGTTCTAATGGATCCCCCAATGGTGATGGTATCCAAGCTATTGGTAGAAGTTCCCATAAAATGATAGAGGCAGTTATGCAATCTGCTGCTAGGGGAAAGGTACAGAACCTCTTATCTTACTCGGGATAGGTTTGCCTTCGTTCTTTATCTTCTTCTGAGATACGAAGCAAAATTTCAGGTACAAACCATCAGGCAAGGTTATTTGTCAAAACGATCCTCAAACTTAAGAGGAGACTGGAAAAGAAGATTTTTCGTTCTTGATAGCCGAGGCATGTTGTATTACTATCGCAAACAGTGCAGCAAACCTTCTGTAAGTACTTAAGCAAGAGGTGAAAGCATTACAATGCCAACAGAATGTTTTGTCCAGAGTTCTGGTCATGATGTCTGACACAACATTCAATCCTTAACATCACAATATTGCAGGGTTCGGGAAGTCAGCTTACTGGTCAGAGAAATAGCTCTGAGCTTGGGTCTGGACTTTTGAGTCGGTGGCTTTCATCTCACCATCATGGAGGAGTACATGATGAGAAATCGGTTGCTCATAATACTGTGAACCTTCTTACATCCACAATCAAAGTTGATGCCGACCAGTCGGATCTTCGGTTTTGTTTCAGGATCATATCACCAACGAAGAACTACACTTTGCAGGTATCACTTATGACAAAGTCTTTCTGAGAATAGATAGCCATGGTTATGCTGGGGGGTCAATAATTGAATAGTCTATTATGGGAGGTGTATGTCTGCATGTTGAGGTGAGGGTGATAGTGGGGTTTAACTATACAGATCCCTAACAATGTATAGTGTTCTTGTCAGTGCAGGCAGAGAATGTGTTGGATCAAATGGATTGGATTGAGAAGATAACAGGAGTTATTGCATCACTGCTTAGCTCTCAAGCACCTGAGCGGGTATTGATTGATGATGTTTCATGATCAAACTAGTTTCAGCTATATTGCATGCATTTGATGATTTGATATGCCTATTGCATTCCAGTGTCTTCCTGGTAGTCCTATGGGAAGTGGTCATCATCGCTCAGCAAGTGAGAGCAGTTCATTTGAAAGTACCGATTTTGACCACCCTGCCGTTGATGAGTATGCATGTGAGAGAAGCTATTCCAGTGCACATTTTGATCGACAGCTGAGAAGTTCACAACTGCAGCAAAGGCCTTCTGTTGAGAAGCCAATTGATCTGTTGCGAAGGGTCTGTGGAAATGATAAGTGTGCTGATTGCGGTGCCCCTGAACCAGATTGGGCATCCCTAAATCTTGGTATTCTTGTTTGTATCGAGTGTTCAGGTGTTCATCGAAACCTTGGTGTACACATATCAAAGGTGAGTTCTATTTTCACCACTCTGGCATTTCAGAGTTTCCCCATTAGTAGTGTACTTGCATCTTTAAATGCATCACAAATATATTAGTTTATACGACAAGAGGATCAAGCTTTACAAATCATTAGCGAAGAAAGTGATTGAGTTATTGTTGTGCCTGGTGATTCCTCTGTAGGTTCACCATTCCATTGCTTGATCAACTGCATGGTTTGTCTTGCTTTCAGATCAAAGTGTTTCTTGCTTACAAATTTAGCGTCTTCTTTGTCATTTGGACTTCCATTGCAGGTGAGGTCTCTTACACTTGATGTTAAAGTGTGGGAGCCTTCTGTTTTAGGTTTGTTTCAGTCTCTTGGAAATGCCTTTGCCAACTCTGTTTGGGAGGAGCTATTGCAATCAAGAAGTTGCTTCCAAGCGGATGTCATTTCTTCTGGGTAATCCTTTTCTCTGGTTCATTTAGGGATTCCTTCTAGACCACAACTATATATATTGTTTGTTTTCTATGAGTGTTTACTTACATCCCTCTGTTTTTTATCTTATGTTGAAGCTCGTACAAATCGATTAAACCACAACTTCTTTTCCTTGGGAAACCAAGCCCTGCTGATTCTATACCCGTGAAGGAGAAGTTCATCCATGCAAAGGTACTCTATTCAAGTTCTACTCAAGCTTATAGCTTTGATATGATAACTTGATATGCAATAGTTCCGTAATATTTGCAGTGCATATTACATAAACCATGGCTATTAGTATTGCTGGACTGTTCCTTTATTCTTTTGCAGTTGAGTGGATATTGCATAGTAATTAAGAGATGCAATGTCTGATTTTGATTTCATGTGTTTGATAGTACGCAGAAAAGCTTTTTGTTCGGAAACCTCGGGAAAACCAGTATCTTCATCAACAGATGTGGGAAGGGGTTCGTGCTAACGACAAAAAGGCTTTATACCGTCTCATGATTAATAATGAAGTGGACATCAATATGGTCTATGACCAAGCCACATTCAACCCTTCTCTAACGCTTGCTAAAGCAATGCTATTGCAAGAACAAACAGGTGTGGATCTCTGTTCTGGTTGCTCAACGGGCTCTATGAACTCGGCTGGAACAAGTGAAGGAGGCCAGATAGTAGTGGATGATGATCAAGATGGTTGCACATTGATTCACCTAGCGTGTGAGACTGCTGACATCGGCATGCTTGAACTTTTACTACAGTATGGGGCAAATGTAAATTCAACCGATTCAAAAGGCCGGACACCGCTCCATCGCTGTGTTACCGGGGGAAGAGCAGCTTTTGCAAAATTACTCCTCGCAAGGTATGAATTCCTGTTTGACCCTATATATGGAGGGATAAAACCTGCATGGAAGCACATGGATCTTGAATGGCATGACTGATGAATACTTATTTGACTTTTTGCAGGGGTGCTGATCCTCGGGCCGTGAATGGGGAAGGTAGAACTCCTATGGATCTGGCATTAACGTCGAACATAGTTGAGAACGAGCTGCTCGCTCTATTATCTGACACAAATGGATGAATGAGTGTATGTTGGGAAATAGGGCATATTACTATTGTTTTATTCTTGTAAAGAATGTTATTATGGAAGTTGGCACAGCGGGGGTAGTTGATTCTGTGCCCTCATAGTGAAGGATGTTAGTGAGCATCCGAGGATTTGGTGGAGGTGGTGGAAGGTGCTTGATCATGTATGTGAGAAGTTAATCACGGGCGAGGATCATTGATTCATTCACCCTAATGGAAATCAAGCCCCCGTCCGGTTGAGTACAGAAGTGGTTTTTAGTAGTCTGTTTTGTAAGGGTGGGTTTTGTGGTGGTATGGTTTGTTTATTTGTCTTGGGTGTATTGTATTGGACCCTAATCATGTAGTCGAGTTATTTTGTTGGTAGGGGAGGAGGGGAGTGAATACTGGAGTGTGTAATTTTGGTGTACATTATGATGATTGGTATGTGTTGTAGCACTGAAGGTTGTGGTTATGGCTGTAGTTGTTGATGACCTGATGTATAGAGATGGAAGGTCCTCTCTCCTCTGCTTGTGTAGTTGTGTTTCAATTATCAGTGGTTAAATTGCAAGTTTGGGCATCCGAATTACTAGTAAAGTTCACGTTAGTCACTAGAATTACTTTATTTTATCCGTAATCACTTAAATTAGGTTAACAATCCAAGTTTGTTCACTGGCCGTTAGTCTCCAGTAACTTTTGCTGATGTGGTAGTCAACTCTCTGTCGGTCAAGGCCTTCCCCCGACTATATGTTGTCCAGCGTCGCGATTACGGAGCTGAACTTCCTGCATCAATTATGTGCCCGAGGAATTCCCTTCCCCATCGGTGGATCCGAAACCTTGATGGAGTTTATCCAACGCCCTTAGGTTTGCTTCTTTCTTGATTCCGCATTGGCAGGATTTCAAATAGAGCATGACTCTGAGCATTTCTCCGAGATTCGTCAACCGGGTCTGGCTAAGATCCCTGTAAAATCGAACTATGTGCTTCAATTCCCTTCCATGGCCCTTCAAATCGAGATATGCGAGAATCGGATCGAGCCGTAGAGAAGCCAGGGCTTTCAGAGCTCTATCGTAGTTATGCTCCGTCACGCCGAAACTTCCTTGGTTGAACTTGTACCCCCATCTCCCGTACCAGGAGTGCCCGTAGGCGACGCAGTAGAGGAGCAAGAGGTCCGTCGATCGCGCTTCCTGGAGACGTCCTCGACAAAAAAATGGAATTTGCGACGGGGTCATAGTGGAATTTTTATTACGTTCTGAAATCGACGAACAACGTCGCCATCGGTGATTCCTGTTAAACTTGGTGGGCTAAATTGACACTTTTACAAACTTCACACACTATATTATAACTTACAACACAAGAGAGCTCATACTACAACTATAAACCTCACCACTCTCTATAAACTCTCACAAGACTCTCTTCCTCACTTTCTCACCTGTACGTGAGAATCCTCTTCTTTCTTTCTTATTTTTCTTCTGCTCACTCAACTTGCCTATCACAAAGCCAATTCCATCTATTTATACACCGCTTCCACCGCCATTCCACCCAAAATATCAAAAACAGTTAATGTGGTAGGGGGATTTGTGGCTCTCCTATTCTTTTCAGGTTCTTCTCGGATTCTCTTCCTTTTTATATTTTGTTATTTGTTGTTGTTAGAAAAATCCAGAGAAATGGAGTTGGTTCTTCAATACTCCCCCTCAACGACAATTCTCTGATGTCTTTTGATAATTTCCAATCGTCGTTGCATTTCTTGTAGTCTTGGTCCTCCAAGCCCTTTTGTAAACATATCTGCTACTTGGTCCTCAGTGTTGACATACTTCATCTCAATACTTCCATGTAGCACCTTCTCTCTGATGAAGTGATATTGTACCTCCACATGCTTTGTTCTTGCATAGAACACAGGATTGTCCACCAATCGTAAAGCTGATTGATTATCGCAATGTAGTGGTACTGAGTAGTTGACTTCTTGCCCCAAGTCTTTCAAGAGTTGTATTAACCATACACACTCCTGAGCTACTACTGCAGACGCTTTATATTCTGCCTCAGTAGTTGATAATGCTACTGTAGGTTGTCTCTTACTGCACCACGAGACTGGTCCTGATCCAAGGTTGAACACATACTCAGTTGTCGACCTTCTCGTGTCAATATCTCCAGCATAGTCAGCATCACAATATCCCATTAACTTTGTGTCTCCTCCTTTTCTGTAGAAGATACCATGATCAAGTGTTCCTTTGACATAGCGTAGAATCCGCTTTGCCGCTTCCAAGTGAGGCTTCTTTGGATTTTGCATGAATCTGCTAACCAAGCCCACTGCATATGATATATCAGGTCTAGTCAGTGTAAGGTAGATTAAGCTCCCCACTAGTTGTCGATATATCGTTGTATCCTCCAAATCTTTTCCTTCATTTGAGCGTAGCTTTGTGTTGACTTCTACTGGTGTAGTCGTTGATTTGCATTCTAACATTCCATACATCTCCAAAAGATCTTTGGCATATTTATGCTGGCAAAGGAATAATCCCTCCTTGTTCCTTTCAACTTCCAGACCCAAGAAGTGTCGTAATTCTCCAAGCTCCTTCATCTTGAAGCGCACCGAGAGATTTGCCTTTACTTGAAACACTTCTGGCTCGTCATTCCCGGTAATGATGAGATCATCCACGTAGACGAGCACTATTGCTACTTTATCTTCTTGTTGCTTTACGAATAAGCTAGAATATGATGGAGCTAGCTTATAGCCACTTTGGATTAGAAACTCAGCAATTTTACCATACCATGCCCTTGGTGCTTGTTTGAGACCGTAAAGCGCTTTCTTCAACTTGCAGACATACTCTGGATGCAATTGGCTCTTGAATCCCTGAGGCTGCTCCATATAAATCTGACGATCTAGCTCTCCATGTAGAAATGCATTCTTGACATCCATTTTCCAAAGCTTCCATCCTCTGCTTGCTGCTAGTGCAAGTACAACACGTACGGTTGTGATCTTTGCTACTGGACTAAATGTTTCATCATAGTCAATCCCATACTGTTGTGAGAACCCTCGAGCTACTAAACGAGCTTTGTACCTTTCAACTGATCCATCAGGACGAGTCTTGATCCTGTAGACCCATTTAGTCATTTACAAGAGATGGGTTTCACACCTTCGGGCTTCGGCACCAAGTCCCATGTTTCATTTTGGTCTAGGGCGTCCATTTCTTCCTTCATAGCTTTTTGCCACTCTTCCTTAGATGCTGCCTCCTCGAATGAACTGGGTTCTCTTAGCATTATTTCTTTTACAAAGGCTGCATTGACATACTTGGGATTTGCTCTTCGTTGTCGTTTTGACCTTCTCAACTCTGTCTAATCTTGCTCTATTGTATCTTCAAACTGGCTTGGGCGTTCATCTTCCTTTACTTCTTGATATACGCCAGATCTCCATGGTGACTTTCCATTTAATTCTTGTTGAACTTGAGCTTCCTTGTCTTCTTCACCAGCCTTCTGTTCTGTCTCATTTTCTTCTTCCTTTTCCACTTTGGACTTCTTCTCCAGTCTCTCTTGTACTTGTTCTTTGATTTCATTTGAGTCGGGCATTATCCTTGCCTGCGGTGACCAATAAGATGTCATCTCGTCAAATACCACATTCCTTGACACGTGGCATTTTCCTGTCCCTGGATCACAACACCTCCACCTTTTTGTTTGTTCATCATAACCCAAAAATATGCATCTTATAGCTTTCTTATCAAGCTTGGTTCTTAGCTGGTCAGGCACAAAAACATAGCTAACACATCCAAATACTCGAAAGTGATTGACCGTGGGTTTGATCTTCAAGAGTTTCTCAAACGGCGAGATGAATCCCAGCTTTGGTTGCGGTAGTTGATTGGTTATATGTACGACTGTCTTCATACACTCTGCCCAATATTTTGCCGGTACATTCTTAGCATGTAGCATGCTACGACACGTCTCCGCAAGGTGTCGATTCTTTCGTTCTGCAACTTCGTTTTGTTGTGGAGTACGAGGACAGGTCAACTGACGTCGAATCCTCTGTTGTCTCACGTATCGCCAAAATTCTCTTGAAGTGTACTCGCCTCCATTATCTGTACGGAGAATTCGAACTCTTCTTCCAACTTCAGTTTCAGCTTTTTCTTTGAATTGCTGAAACTTCTCCAAGGCCTCAGACTTTTCCTTCATAAAGTCAAGCCAAACATATCTTGAATAGTCATCAATGAACGTTATTATGTACCGGAACCCACTTATCGATGGTTGCTTAACTGGGCCGAAAACGTCAGAGTGTATCAACTCTAGTGGCTCCTTGGCTCTGAATTTTGAATCATCGTATGGTAACTGGTGTGCTTTCCCGTACTGACATCCCGGGCAAACTGTATCTTCTCGAACTTCCAGTTGAGGTAGGCCTCTCAAAGTCGACTTCTTCATCATTAATTTCAATTTGTGATAGCTCGCGTGCCCTAGGCGTGCATGCCACAAGTCTGCCGTCTCATTCCTCCTTGCACGATCCACGTAAGCTGACTCTGCTGACATCACATAAACGGCATCCCGCTTTACTCCTTCCATGAATGGCGTGCCTATGATTTTTAACTCCTTGTAGACCCGTACGTCAATGGGGCCAAACAGGACATAATTTCCTGGAGCTGTTAGCTGTGTAATAGAAATTAGATTCTTCTTTATTCAAGGCACGTGATAGACTTCTTCTAGCTGAACTTCTTCTGGATTGAAGTCAGAAGCTATCTTTGTCTTGCCCACGTGTGCAATCGGCAACCTCGCATTGTTTGCGGTTACCACAACTCGTCGACCCTTGTACTTGGAACTCTCCATTAGCTTCTCCTTATCTCCCGTCATATGGTTGGAACATCCTGAATCAAAGATCCAATTCTTCTTGTAGTCGATATTGCGAGAATGAGATACTGCCAGAGTGATCTCTTCTTTTTCTTGTATGTTGGCCTCTTCCTCATCATCATGGAGTTCTGCACTAAAGCAATGTTCTCCACATAGCTCTATTGTGGCAAATGAGCTTTCCATATCCCAGTCATCTTCATTTGTGGGTTCTCCATTCTGGTTGCTTGATGTTGCAATATTTCCTTCTAGTCTCTTCTTGTACCAACAATCTCGAGCAAAGTGACATCTCTTGCCACAGTTGTAACACTCTTTGCCACGCCTTTGTTGAGACTTCTCATTGTCTTCTCCTTTCTTTTGGTGAGCTCCCCCTCGCTGCCTACTCCATCCTGGTCTTCTTTCGCGCTCTTGTCTTGCATTGCCTCCCGCTCTCGGAGGCTTCTGGCTCCCAGAACCATTCTTCCTGCTAAAGAGTGCTTCCTCATCTTTGATGGTATCTTTAGCAACCGCTTGTCTAAAGCTTCTTGATTTGCTAGAGTATTCTCTAGCTCCTCCAATGTTGGCTCTTTAGCCCATCCGCGGATTGCCGTAACGAGTCCATTAAACTCGGGACGTAATCTGTGGACTATAATTCTCTTCATCCTGGTCTCACTGATGGGATTGTCAGGATCCAACTTCGAGATATCTTCACACAAGGATTTTACCTTAGTGAAGTACTCGCTCACTGTCATATCTCGTTGTGAGATTGACAATAGCTCATTCTCGAGCATTTGTAGCTTTGC